TATATAAATATTTATATGCCCTTTTAAAACAAAAGATGTATGCTATGGCCCAGGTGCAGGTGTTCGTTGCACCTGTGTAACAGCTAAGACCTGGGCCTGCTGTGTGGGTGTGTAGATGGCACACACTGCACAGGCATTATGTGTGTGTGTGTGTGTGTGTGTGTGTGTGTGTGTGTGTGTACATACACTTGCCATTGTCATATCTCATCCTGCAGCACCAAAAGCGACTTTTTCCACATCAGTTCTACCCCAAACCCTCAAACCTTGACAACCAAGTACAAGGCATTGAACAACTAAAGGAAGATGCAAACAGCACTGAAGTAAGACACCAATCCACCCTGAACTAAGTGTTACTCCTTCCCCCTTCTACAGTTCAGGGGGAGAGACAGAGGGAAGGGAGGGAGCAAGTGTGTGAAAAGGGAAGAGAATAATAATTAAGTAAGCAATACAAGGGATGTGCACAAGCAGTGTCATGGCACGCTACAGGCAGACTCTCTTTCACGCATTCTCACGCACACAAAGATCCAAAAAAAAAAATAAAATGCATCAATATGTAATCTTACAAGTGCTGATTGCCGTTAAGGACACTCTTTTTCAGCTTAACAAGACAAAATAGTTTCTTAGATAAGAGTACTGGGAACATGCCTCTGAAGGTAGAAATATGCAGTAGGTCACCTCTTGAAGATTTAATAAAGCAGCTTTCATGTCAATGCAGTAAGTATACACACAGAGCCATTTTTCTAAACCTTACTAATGATATAGTACAAGTGTTTGTTACCTCTTCAGTCTACGTTTTGCAGCAATGTATACCTGCTGGGTTCGCTGGGGTATTTTTGGTACAGAATGTAACTGCCCTCAGACAGTTTCTGCCCTTTCTGTTAGTCCAAGGTAGGCAAGGAAGGAGTGTTTAGGTGAAGAGGCACCTCCCGGTGCAGTCTGAGGTCTGGGTGGATGGAATGTGAGATCGTAGTGGTTTTTGGGGAAAAACATTGTTAAAGGAATAAGGTGGGCGAACTCTGAGTTCCAGTATTTATCAAAGCACAGGGAAGTGCCGTTGACGGCCAAGGCTTTCACTGCCAAGCTCGGCTCTGCCCCGCTGCCATGTGCAGCTGACATAGCCACTGTTTGCAGAGCCTGGGAGGCAGACATAACGGAGAGGGGGGACAGGAGGTTTCTGGAGCTGTTCACTGGTAGGAGTGGACTGGCTTCCTTGGAGGTTGAATACTGGCCCTTCTTCTCCTCTTCAGAGCAGTCCCCGTTCTGGTGCTTCTTCACGTGGCGGCTGAAGACAAAAGGGTGGGTAGTCTTGAACAGGCACTCATCACAGCTGAAAGTCTGGCGTGGAGCATGCTTCAGTTTCTTGTGCAAGTTGAGATTGTCTTTGCGTTTGCAGCTGTAGCTGCACTGGTCACAGTGAAAAGGGCGCTCGCCTGTGTGGACACGCACGTGTTCAATCAGCTTGTTGGCGGTCTTGGACAGGTAGCCACACTGGTCGCACTTGTAATGGTTGCCAAGGCGGTGTTCTCGGATGTGCATCTCCAGCTCCAGCTGATTTGCTTTCACTGTCTGGCAGATCCGACACTTGTACTCCATCTTGTAGTGAGTCTTCAGGTGGCACTCCATTGCCGCAGGGCGGTTCGTGGAGTAGATGCAGAACGGGCACCTGGCAACACAGCAAGGAAAGGCAGAGACAGAGAAGAGAGAAGTCACTCAGCTTGAAGACCTGCATTCCTGGTTCAACCCTGCCATTCAGCCCCTCTCTAACCTACTAAAGAGGAGAAAAGGGCACTTAGTTCTTAAAATATTTGGTTCACCTCATGGTGTCTCTACTTAGAGGAGGTTTGCCCGTTTAATGGCAGTAGAGCTCACGCATTCCTAGGAAAACACTGATTCACTCTGAAGGAGCATCCCTTTAATCTTCTGGCTTACCTTGACAGGGAGGATTCTGCAAAGCAGGCCGAGTAGTGCAGAGTGGGTGACTGATTCACCGGTACTTTGTGTAACGACATTCCTAGTGTTTGCGCGAAGTCACTTTTGCCATTTTTTCCCGTTAAGAAGTGCTTTAAAGTGAGTGTTTACAGATGAGTATGAAAGCAGCTGTTTAAGTAAAGATGGAATAAACTTGTAATACCACATGTACAGCAAAAGCTTAGGAAATTCCTTTTCTGTGACCTTGAACAATAGGCTTGCTGGGTATCCTGCTAGAAGCAGCTGAAAGCCAGTCAGTGAGGATGATTTGTAGGGATTCCCATTTCTGGGAGATGAGCTAGCCATGCTCAAAGGGGTGTGCATTTGGCAGTGTTTGCCTACAGCCACCTCTGCCACAGCAGGAATTGTTCCTGTGTGGGAACAGGATGTGGGCTCCGCTTACTCACAGCAGCAAGCGTCCGGACCGGGGTGGATGTGGCAAACGGCTTCACCCCTGGTTCCTGGAGCAGGAAGGGCCGAGAAGGCTGCAGGAGGGAATCTTGAAAGCTTGGCAGGAAGCCTGAGCTGAACAAGCCTGGACACCAACAAACCCAAAGCACACCCCCTTTTGTTTTTTTGCAGTTGAGAGGCAGTTGGTGAGGACAGCTACCTGCCAGGGATCTCTGCTGTATGAAACAAAGCATGCTGCTTTCCAGATCGGACTGCTGAGCTAAAAGACTACGTCTAGACAAAAAGATACAACTAAGGCACCTGGCTCATGTCTTACAGATGTCTCCACCTCCTGCTGATCTGCATTCACCATTTAGCAGGTCTGCCGATGCTGCTTTATCATTTCAGGTAATTTCTAAGCAGAGATCATCTCCCTCCATGTGTGTTTTTCCTTGCTACAGCTGGTTGCACATACAGGTTTAATATTCATCTACCTGCTAATCGAGAGACTTTGGAGCACAGTGAATAATACAGCAGGACAAATGGCTACTTGATGCTTTTCCTGATGCACATCAAGGACTCTGATCCAGAGAGGGAGCCTGGCATTGAGGCTGCTAACATGATTAGCTCTATGCAACAGAGGACTTGGCTGTCTATGCACACATACCTCTCCTGGGCTGGGTGCTCTCTGGATCAGAATCTCACACATTTTGACCTGGAGCTGGAAGAATCATGGTTTTTTTCTCTTCCCCCCACAGCAATCAGGAGACAGAAAAATACAGTTTACTTAGATCACTTCAGGCTCTTCTGGATGCCTTAAAAAAAAAAATCAGAGCTTTTTCTTAGGTACAGCTTTCAAAGTACCGAATTACTACTTGAGCTGGGCAGGAATAACTTACGTAGACTGTAAAGCCCATTCTGTAGGGAAGGTCTGAATCATAGGTCATGGGTTTTCCTTGGTAAATAGAACACATTCTGTGGATGTTAAACCCAAAGTGCATCAGACAACTGATCTGTCCGTCCAAGACAGACACTCTGTTGTTCTGGCACACTACTTGTTTCTTAATCTGGTTTTCTTCCCAGATTCAGTCATCACATCTCAGTGACCACATTTTGTGGAACTACTGAGCTGGAGACCAGATGCTGCCTGGCAAACAGAACCAGTTTTCAAAAACTGCAGTGCAAACGGCTAGAGCTACTCGTGGGGATGTTAAACGTGGTGTGCTCGTCACGTGACAGTTACAGTGCACTGAGAACTTTAAATTTGCTTAGCAAGAACAGCAGAAGCAGGGATCCTAGCTGGGCTCGAGGTGGTACCAGCCTCTTTTCCTGCAGCAGCTGGAACAGAGACTAGGGACATGCATCTTGCATAACGTCACATTGCCCACACACAGAGAGCAAGCATATGGCCCCAGCAGTCATTCCTTCCCTCAGGGGTCCAACTTTGACATAAGGGCATACTCATTCTCTAGAAACACTGCACCAACAGACCTTAAAGGACACTACCTTAGCCAAAGCCAAAGAGTTTTCTTCTTAAAAGAGCGTATTACTCGTTACATGTTAATTTATACAATAGTCATCATTCTGGGGCGTGCAAACCAAAGCAGAAAGCATAAAAGGTATTAATTCTTGGAGAGGACTGATTTTGCATTGGAGTCTACAAAGGTTATTACCTTTAAGGTTCTGACTTCATACCTGTCACCGACTGTCCAGGGTTTAGTTTCTTTGAGCCAGGTGCAGAACAGAGCGTGTGGTGTGCACTCTCATTTGCTCTGATGCCTTCAAAAAAACCCTTCTTAGTTTGCCAACACTTGTGTGCATTGCTGCCTCACTCTCTGTAAGACCCATCACAAACTGTCTCCTGTTTGACTTGAAAAGGGAAAGGAGCATACTTCGCTAAGACCAGCGGATGCTACATCTGCTGCTTGGATACCGATCTCCTATAATGATGCAAGCGTATGCTAAGGCATCTGTAAAGGACTCGGCTTGGGTTATCTAAAGAAAAGGAAGCCCTAAATCTGGATTATCAGACATTTAACTAACCCTTTCTAATTTACTTCCTTTTGTCCTATCCCCACAGTATTAGAGATGCTTAACACAGTAAAAGTTTGTGTACTTGCTTTCCTTACTTGAGCCCACCGGTGGGGACAGTGTGGCATTTCTTGTGCTCCAGTAATTGCTCAGGTGTCTTCATGAACTTGTGGCACACATCACACTCGAACATCCGTGTGATCAGGTGGATTTGCAGATGGCGCTCAAACATATTTTTTGTTTTACAGACGAAGTTACAGAAAACACATTCAAAGCCTGAAAAATAATTTTAAAAAACCAAAACAAAACAGAAAAATATATTCCTTACATTGTGGCCAGATCCACTGCACAGAAGATGATAGTCTGTATTTGTTTAACAGTGTTCTACCTTTCTCTGACTTCTCTTCAGTGCTCACTGAGGTCTGACTACCAGGCACTACAGAAATGACGAGCAGGTTGTTTGAACTCTTGGTTTTGGGGATTATATCTCCATCTTCTTTGCTGTTGGCAGAGTCGCTCAGTGCTGACAGTGAAGATGAAGATGGACTGTTAGATTCACTGGGTGTCTTCATCTCTTCAGCTGAAAAACAGGAATAAAGACCAATAACTAGTACAGCAGATTAGATAGAATCTCAATGATCCTGTTTTAAATTTCAGGAAAAATATTTATATTCAAAGTCAATTCAGACATGGGTATAAACAAGTCTGAAATTAATCGATCTGTTAAGAAACCATAGTTGCACCTCCTTCCTTTTTATTAGTGTTTACAACAGTACATCTCTCAGTTTATCCTAGAATAGAGTCTGTCAGTAATGGTAGTGGGAAGGAAGCATACAACTCACTACCAGGCTGATAAAAATTCCAAGGAAACACGTTGATTAGCTCAGAGTTCAAAAACAATGCAGAACTTGTCACTTAGAAAGGAAACAGAGGTCCTTTAAGTTTGGGCTGTGGAATCCCAAAGTGCTGTTGTTGGCCTACTGGTCCAAGCTAAACTTCTCCTACCTTTCTGTTTATGTGGGTCCAATGGGTAAATTTGGGAGGAAGGGCAAAAGAGAATAATCTCACTGTACTCCGAAGCATCCTCAGTAATGATTGCAAGAGATAACAGCGTGGTCTCAAGATTTATCTGTTGTCATTAGAACCTCTTACTGCAGATAATTCATTAAAAAAACCTGTTATTTATCTGAATGTACAGCTGAAGCTCATCAGAGTTTCCCTATGAATATAACAGAGGTATGAAGTTCAAATCCCAAACACTATCACACACTAGAAATGTGTTTTCATATGAACCCTAGTCTGTTGTAATCTGCCATGAGCCAACAAGGCAAGGATAGGCAAATTATTACCTCTCATCTCTGTCATGGTTTAAAAAGAAACTTTACTAAAACTTTGTGTTATCCATGTGATAAAGTCCCCTGATCAAGGCCTCTGTAAACACCAGTACCTATGTGCCTAGATTTAAACTGAGAGCAGCACCTTTAAGCCTAAGATAAAAATGTAAGGATGCACTAATGAAATCTGATGACCCAAGCTGTCAATAGGGAGGATGACTGGGATATCATATAGAAAGATTCACTGACCTTGGGGACCAGAGTAATAGAAATGGAATGAAATTTAATAGCACAGAGTACAAGGTTATGACCTGACAGGCCAGTAACAAGAATTTTTGCTACAAATGAGGAGTGCTCAAGTTGGAAATGGTCAAGGAAAACAAAGGAAGAATTTGAGCAGAACATGGGATGAATATGAGCAATCAGCATGGGGGTGGTAAGGAAGGTAAATATGATTTTAAAATGTTATTGTGTGAGCTATTCCCAGTAGCTGCTGCGGTTTTGCACTGCCACCACTACTTATTTCATTTCACCTAAGACACCATGTACAGCTGTGATTGCATATGTCGAGAGCAGGGGTTCTAGCAAGAACATATGCAGTAAGGGATTGGTACAGTGAGAAAACTCTGTTTCATATGAGAAAAGGCTCAGTGTTTAGAGAGGAGAGGGTTGTTCTCCATAAATACACGAAGGGAATAAATACTGTGGGTGGAGGGAGCAAGCAATGGACTGCTGCTTTCAGATAAAGGGCAGTTCTGGCACAAGAACAAAGTATGTGTATTCTGATTATTAGTAAGACACATGCTGGAAATTTTAAATCAGTCCCTAATCTTTAATACAGGAAAATCTGCAACTGCCTGTCTGTAGGTTTAAAACAATTACACTTGTTTGAAGACATGTGCCAACATCCTTACAAACAGGCCTTTTATGACTTGGTAACCTCACAGGATAAGGGACTGGGGTCAAGTGACCCAGAAAATACATTCTACTATTTACTCTGTATTTGCCGTATGTGTAAGCATTTGGCTGAATCGCCAGCTGAGTGGCTCAGTTTGAGAGAGTGAAGGAAGAACAAGGAGTTTTCTTGTCTGTCTTTAAAAGACAAGCAGCCATTCCAATCTTTTAGCCATTACAGAAAGATACAGTACAGCAGAGCTCAGTATTGAGCTCCGATGCGAGCTTTTCATGTGGCTAGGGGTAACGTTTCTCATTTGCCTTGACTTCCCTGTATGAAGTGGAGTTAGATGCAAACACCTAAGATAGCAGGGAGTAGTGCTGAGAGCTGTGCTGGCATAAAAATCCCTTGAGGGCTTTCCAGTAGTTTGTGTTTCTGAAGTTAAATGTAACTTACGTACTTGTGAGTACAAACAACTCTATTCTTCTCTCCCTTCTCCTTCTCTACCCTTCCTGTTTTCCCAATTTTTTTCCTGGTAGGACAGGAAAAGCAATTAGCAATGGAGAAACTGTGCTGGATGCAGTTCGGGTTCAGTATTCAAAACTGTTAGTGGTTTGTGACAGCAAATGCTTCTGCTTGGTGTTATAATAGAAAATAATTAAAAGGACTCTATTTTTCTTGTCCTTAAATTATGCCGGACTTCATTAGTTGGGCTATGCATATGGAACTTGTTTGAAAACTGCTATTCTCTTATCTTTGGCTATTAAGCGAACAGGACCAGGGGAAGACCACCTGACTTGTCCTGTTATTTAATATAAAGTTAACATCTCTGGTGTTGCTGAATCACAGTGTTAATTAAACATCAGTGTGAGATTCCAAACTGATACAGGCAAACACACAGAAAAGCAAAGCTCAACTTATTGTATATTTCAAACTTATGGCCAGGTTGCACAGTGAGCACTCAAAGTCACCTTATCATCACTGAAGTCAAACCAAGATTTTGATGAAATAGTAAAACCAGTCAGAAAAACAAACTATACTGACTTCAACAGGGGAGGGGGCTTGGGGGATAAGGGGAATAGAAAGAAAGAGGGCTATGTAGTCTTTCATTTATTTTGCTAAGCTTGAAAATTGATCTGCACTACCAGATTATTTGCCTGGCTGGAGTCCAATTCACTTCAACTTTGAGAGATCAGGCCTTAATTAGTAAGTGTTTCAGTGAAAGTAAAGAGTGCGCTAACAGGAAGTGTGAAGGTTGCACCTAAAAAGCAAGAGAGAGAAAGATCACTGCAGCTGGGAGAGGGGGGTCCTTACCTGTGTGCTTGCTGTTGACATGAGCCTTCATATCTGCCTCTTCCATGGTGACAAAATCGCATGCTGTGCAGCAAATCGAGAACATCCACTGCTCTTTATCCACATGGAGGGACATATGACTGACAAACTGGACATTCATCTCTGTCTCAAACCCACACACATGGCAGCTGCAGCCAGAAGAGTATTCAAGAGTAAGAAACATTACAAAAACAAACCATGAACGGAAGCATTTTGCCCTTCCCTGAATATGCAAGATAAAATTCACTGTATAGATTTCTTCTCTTCCTCACTGTTGAACATTCACTGGAAAATTCTTTTGTCTGCTGAACTGCCTTTGAACCGATGGCCATGCCAACGTGATTAAGGGCAGGCACAATGCAACAATCCTGTACATGCTATAATGATGCTAAATAATCATAAAGTTAATTAAAAACTACAGATTCCAGATGCTGCGCATCACCTAGCCGATTCCTTTGGGCAATAGGAGGCACTGCAGCTTTGCCAAGATGTTTAGTACAGCTGATACACTGACAAACTGAGTGCTTGCTGCACACTCCAGGAGTTATTTTCAAGCCCTGGAATGGTTCCCATGCCAAACTAGGATCTTGTGCAAAACTGCCTGGCAGTTTCAGTGTAAGCGAGTAAAAATGGGTTCAAACATTTCTTATGCTTGACTGGAAAACAGCAGTCATCAGCTATGCAAATAATTAGCAGGGATACAGACTTCACAGCCAGTGCATAAACAGTGATATTGAGATGCAGTGGAAAGGACCCTTTAATTTAACTTTCTTTGCAGAGTCCTCTTGCTTTGATTAGACCATTAACATTTAAAACAAGCCAAAAATATTTTAAAAGGCATATACTCTAGGGTACTATTCTGCTTTCCCAAGGGGATGGACTAGATAATCTAATCCAGCAGGTCTCGTTTTTTTCTTACTTCTATGATTTTGTAATTAATTCTGCTCTTGGCACTTTGACTACTACTGGTAGGCACTTTGACTAGCATACAACAAGGAGAATGCCCAAATACCCATTTTATCTGAGCAATTCCATTTATTTTTTCAGGCAAATTCTCCTAAAGGTTTTCCTTTTTTCATCACACTGGCACTGAATGTATATAACTCTAGCAAATGTGTATATGGAGATAATAATTTTTATTATGGTTTCCTATTCCATTTCATAGATTTGGCTGAAAACAATGGAGCTGTCAGAGGCAACTGGAAGCACATAGCTTTAGATCTGCCATGAATCTGTGTACATGAGAGAATGTTTCCAAACACAAAACTTAAACAAGTACTGCATAAAAAGTCAGAGAGGCTTCTAAGAGCCCATCTGCCTCACAAAGTCATTTAAAAAACCCAGGGCCCAGCCCCCTCTCAAAACTCAGAGTCTTTCCCAATGGCTAGCCAAGCCAAGCAGCACGGGGCAGCCAGCCGCTGCTCGGCTAAGTCAGGTAAGAGCAAGACAGAAATACTTTCATGGCAGCTCCACCCTGCCACACCAGAAGGACAGCCCTGTAACACGTCCTGAGTGGGCAGCTAAGACATTCAGATTGCAGCATCTGGTGCGCAGCCCTGGGCTGGGTCCTCACCTGTAGTAATAAGGGTGCTTCTTTCCATCGCTGCCTTCAGAAGTGACAGCGCTGACAATGTCCTCAGTGTCTGTACTCACCAGCTTCACAGAATGGACGGTCAGGTGCTGGTTCAGATTAGCACGGCACTTAGCAGCATAGGGGCACAAGTGGCATTTGTATTTTCTCTCTTCTGGAAAATAAATGGGAAACCTTAAATGTGTACTTCCTTTTGAAGCAAGCTATTTTTAAAGCTGCCAACAACCACGTATGCATTCCTTTGGGTTTCTCTGAGCAGCTTTCAGAATGAGGTGCTTTGGAAGGCTGACATTTTGGAAAGTTAGAGGAGTTCACAGAAGTTACTCAGAAAAAAACCCCTGTCATTTGGAGGTAGTTTAGGACTAGGGTTTTTTTAACTGGGTCTACCATTTGTAGTCAGATAATATAAATCTTCATAAACTGGGAAACTGGGGCAAATGCTGCTCTGAGAGCTGCAGCAGAGCTAGGACAGAAACACGTCAGTTATCTACAACTACTTCCTTTACCTAGCATCTTTTATTTGATTTTTGGGTCCAGTTATTCTTGAGGTTGACCATGTGATCACTTGTAGAGAGTTGACGGTTGATGATTTTGTATTAAAATCTAAGGGTGGGGAGGAAAGGGAATGCTGTATCATTAGGCTAGTTCTGGACACAAACTAACAAAAATAAAACCCATTCAAAGAAAAATTGAAGAAATAAATTCGTCATGAGCTTCTGATGCTTCACAACTTTTAAAATAAAAATTACTTTATTTTAAATTAAACATTTCTAAATCTTGGCAGCTATTTTTTTTGTATGTACCAGGATTTATTTTGCAGAGTTAATTAAAATAACCAAACATTACATCAGCTTTTACAACATTTCTCTTTGAGGAGCTGCCGCTCTAAATTTGAAATATAACACTACAGGCGCTAAGGGAAAGGAATTCAGTAGAGCTGCTCAGGACTAAGAAAACCTTGCAAAGCCACAGAACAGAGCATTTGAACCTTTTCAGCATGGCTCTGCTAGATGGTACAACATACACTGGCATTATACCAATTATTTTTCAGCACTGCATCAGAAATTCTGGATTTCAAGTCTTATTTTGTGCAGTACACTCCAGCGGGCTGAGAAGGTGCATCTTCCACATAAAAACTCTGTTACTCTCAGTTCATTTGAAGTTGATGCACTTTAAGAAAGTTGGTATGGGGTAGATCAGTCCCTGTTCCCCTCAGAACTGGATGAGGAGAGCAAAGGTGAATGACAGATATTAAATCCTTTCAGTTTCACCAGATCTGAAACAGCAAGGCCCAACCTTTTGTTGTTCAGTAACATTTAAAAAGCTCATCAGGCGAAGGTAAGAAAGGCCAGAGGCTGTGCCTTGTCTCTCCAGAGCTCCATTGACAGGCTTGGTTAACCAGTTGGTATCTACAGGCTGGTCTGCTGGAACATGAACAAACTTGAACTAACATTTTGTAAAGATAAATTACAAGTAGGCTGTAGAGAAATAAAATCTCAGTTAACTCTGTGAACACCACTCTGACATCCTGGCCTGTTTCTGCACTTGGCTCTGCTCTAAGTGCAAGGAGCTGAGGATGCTTCACACACTTTCTTCCCCCTCCACTTCAACAAACCATGACGAACACATGGATTTCCTCAGGGCTGCAACAACCAAGCACTAAGAATCAGCTTACCTGTGTGCAGCGAGAGATGTCGGGACAGGGTCTGCTGTCGACCAAACACTTTTCCACACACGTCACAGGGAAAAAGCTGGTCATTAAATTTCCAAGATGGCAATCCATTTCCCACCTCCAGCCCCAGCTTTTCAGTTTCTATGCCAAAAACCACATAAACAAAAAGTCATATTTTAAGAACTCTGAAGACTTTCAGATTTCATTCAGTAGAGTTCTTTAGGGGTCATATAAAATGCAACACCTCAGCTGCATGCTGTGGGATCTGGCACATGAGTTCATGTAAAAAGAAAACTTCCAATGATGGAAAGGAAATTAACCTTTCACACAGCATCTTTCATACATACACTTAGTCAAAGTGTTCAAGACACAGACATAGTCAAAGAGTTGAACCAGATTATGTAAAGAGAAAGTCAAGAGTGAGCAGGGCAAAGCATTAACCTCTAACACTGTTTTTTGTGGAGAGACCACTCCTTTGGCTTTTTCAATCACTCACTTTCACCTGCTGCATGAAGAAGGCCAGGTCTGTGATGGTGGTTTATTTTACACTGGATTATCACTCCTGGCTGAAGGAAGATTTCCAAACACTTTCTTTTCTACTGAAGCAGGAACTTTTGCTACATGAACAGTGTTGCATTGAAGGAGAACAAGACTGCTCACACAAAAGCTAAGCCAAGAGGATACAGCATGCCAATGAGTGGGTGGCATCCCTAAGTTCTACCCAGCACCTGCTCTCCTTGGGCATGAAAATCCCCAGCACCTTAGAGGGCCATCCATTGCAAAACTGAGACCCTAAACAAGTCATTGTATTTAAAGACGTGTTATTTAATTGTTTGAAGAACAGAGAGAGTCTGCCATACAAAAAAAGAAATTCCACACAGCATAAACCACAGACATGAAAGCACTCTGCAAGGAAGTAGAGGGAGAAGACTGGGAATGAGGAAGAGAAAAAAAGGTACACAGTGCTTAAAGAAGTTAAAAGCATGGCCAATTTTGAGCTGAACAGAAGGGAGCAGAGAGCCGATGGAGACTGGGGATGGCAGTGATGCTACTTAGCTCAATCTGAGCAACAGTATCAGCAAGCCTTGTGTAAAGAAATGCTCTCCTCAAGGGTCCTGTTGCCTGAGGAGAAGGGACTGCTGAAGTAAGGGCTGCACGAAACTGCAATGGCACTCATCAGGTTTCTAAATATAACAGCCAGTAGCAGGATTGGTTTTGAGACTTACTTCTGCTAAAAGACCTTCTATTTCCACTGAAATGAAAGATGCAACCTGCAGAGCAGCCTTCCCTAACCCGACACTGCCTGTGGGTTTGCTGCCCAGAACCAGCTCCACCAGTGCATGCCATGATGGAGAAAAACCATTTGGCTGGGACTTCAAGGTAAACAGGATGAGAGGAACTGAGGACAGGGTTACAAAATAAATCTTACTGAGTGTAAGTTACTATCGTGGAGGTTGGCAAAAACCAGCAAAATCTTCATTCAGTGAAGCACTGAGGAATAAACACCCTCCTTGTACAGGTAACACCTCACTGACAGTCACCTACCACTAGAGATGTGACTGCCATGTCTGACAGTCCCTCGTTCACAGATACATGTCCATCTGGCTCTATTATGGTTCAAGCAAATACCTGTCAAATACTGTATTTAATTTAAGCAATAATAAAAACAATGCCTCATCTGAGACAGAGATTCCATACAGCAACTTCAGCAAGTTTAGTGATGGTCATACATACCAGGCCCTTTTCAGCTGCTTTCTCCTGTGACCCCGTCTATGTACAGTGTTCAGCACACCAGAGGAATTATGATGCACCTCTGAGCACTACCATCCAGCAACACATTTTTCTTAAAGAATTTCTAGTTAGAGAACTAGTTCTGCCTATTCAAAACAGTCATTTTGTGAAATTAAAAAGGAAGACACCCCCCTCCATCCCTTAAGAGCTGTAAGTGCCCCGTAACCTCCAAGAATTTCAATAAAGTATGATCCCTGCATTCAGAACAATGGAAAAATCTGACTCTGTACTAATGCTACAGATATTTTAGCAGAGCCTTTTGAGTACATAATCAAAACAGTGTTTCAAAAGAGGAATATGGTAATAATTAGAAGAGAAGGTCACAAGGGTGTAGGTTGCTTCAATATGGTCACAACAAAAATGAATTAATTGGGACACATACCAAACAAGCAGGCTCATTAAGTAAATAAGTCACTTAACAATTCACTTCGGCATTAGTCATCAGCCTTCTTTTATCTCTTAAGAAATAAAATATCCTGTTCCCTTTGGTGGATTTATAGCTATCAGTTCTGGGAAGCTCATGGGAAGCTGGAAGAATATCAGCTTTCCAATTATCTTGAGCTGGTGAAAGCTAGTCCCTTGCAAAGCAGCTACATATTTTTCATTGATGAAAAAGAGGATATGGTAGGTGTTTTGAAAGTACACCTTTGAAAGATTTATTCCTGGAGTCCCAACTACAGTCCTTCTTTCTTATCTTCCTACTGAATCTTCTCTCCGTAGCAAAGTGCTTTTTCTACTCAGCAAGCTGCTCAGTTTGTTTGTGGCGAACCAGAGTTGGTGTCTGGTGCAACAGGAGCCTCAGCAATTTGTGGAAGATTTCTCGGCTCCAAGGGAAACCACCTACTTCCCCCTTTACCCTCTGGGCAGCTTTGTCTGCAGTATGGGACTGGGGCTCTGTGTCCATACAGTGGTCCAGAAGTCTTGCCAGAACATACCCAGCATCCGAGCTTGCCAGTGACCTGAAGAATCAGGTGAGTCAACAACCACATTCAGTCCTTGGGCTCTGTCTCTAATTAATGCTGGGGAATGGTGTTTTCTGCGAAGTGAGTACAAGTCTGGTGACTCCAAGACCGTAAGGTTGGTTTGTGCACAGCATTCTCTGTGCATCCCAAAGCACTCTACCAAGACAGTCATCATCATTACTCTGTAAGAATACCTTACACAGAGGGTCATTCAGTGGCCAAGAAGGAGGACTGAGACCAACTAATATTAAATAATAAATCACCATTGTGAGAGATGTCCCACAGAAATCCATCTTTCACCATGACATCCCTATACTAAAATGAAGAAAAAAGGTCTTGATATAGATTTTTGCTTTAAACAAATACTCCACAGCAAATTCCTAAACTTTTATGGTAGAAAAGCATACATGACAAAATGATGTTGAATTTATTAAGTAATTAAAAGACTGAATTTCTGTATGGGTTTTGGAGTTTAAAACAAAATATGATTAGTAAAACAGAAGGTTTCCAAGATCTCCAGTACAACATTAAAAAGTAACATAAAGACTAAGACTAGCTAGTGATACTATTACTAAAAATTACTAAATTACTGGCTAGTAATAAAATTATTTTGACATAATTTCGCACAGAAGTTTCAAGAGCTAAAAAAAATAAATCTTAAGGTAAAACTTAATTCTGAATGAAACTCAGTGAAATACATCTTTATGGATACCCTTTTCTGCCCTTCTGTGTCACCTGGTATCATTTTCCTACTAACCCCAAGTCAACTTCATAATGAGTAGCTGTATAAAGCTGATCATCCAAGATGGGGTTAGATACTGCCAGGGCTGCCACCATCTGAATTTTCCCTGAGGTGAGGATAAGGTGGATATCAACTACAGAAACATTGTTCCATCCCTCCTCTTGCCCCTCCAAATAGATTAATTTCTGGCAAGCAAAGCCCAGTGGCTTGAGAGAGTCACTGTTTACCCCTTTCCTAAGCTGTTAGATGTAATTCTGAACATGTATATATTTTCAGATTTCATACTTAGTAACTAATTTCTTTTCCTTGTCATCAAACTGGCAATATCGATATGAAAAGTGCATTAACCACCCCTTGTGAAAAGCCTTTACTCTGACTTTTGTCAAGAAATGCTGAGAGAGGATACCATATCTGGTTGAAGCTGTAACTGAAGAGGATGACAAAGTGTGACTTGAATACACAACTGTCTAGAGCCACTGAATCAGCCTTGTGACTGCCAGTAGCTGTCACACACAAAAGTTCCTCAGGGAATGGCTTTGGGATCTGATGTGTGGGACTTTGATTACTTATTTTCTTTTACTTAGCTTATGTATTTTTCAATTGCTGCTTCACAGTGTTTTATACTGCATTATATTTTAATCTGTTGTTCAATGCCATGCCTAGCTTTATACTAGTAACTGAAAGAATGAAACCACTTTTTAACAGAAAAAGATAAAGCTAAGGAAACAAACAAAAAGTATTGTGAAGTGTCATTCAAAGAAGATAAATTCATATTTATAACTTTTGCTGGTTTACTGTCTGCTTTCACATCCTATAATTCACTTAAACAGCTGCTTCTCTGTTTCATCTTCACACCTCCACAGACCTTGGAAACAACAAAATCCACAAGGGCAGATCCTTATGGTCACATGGAAGCCTACAGATAAAAATTAAATAGATTGTCCTTTGCCATATGTATTCCCTAAAGAGGTGGAAGGGAAAGGTGCTGATAAGTCCTAACAAGGAAGGTCAACGTTTATTATCGCTCTGTTCTTCTGGAAGTGCGAATCATATTTATACTTTGTGTTATTCAGACAGTTTGACACCACACAGATGGTGAAGAAATCAGGTAAGTAATTTTGAAAATTAAGTGCACAGAAATCCTGTGAAGGGAGGAAACAGAAAGTGGTGAATGGAGTATTTTCAATCAATCCTGCTTGCAAGCCAAATGTGATGAAAAAAGCAAGTTAGATGTCCAGGGATCTGGTGACAGAATAGGCACCCAGGGTGAGGCTGAGAGGGAGAGACGGGCAAACTCAGAACAGGAGGTGAATTGGGAAAAGGTAGATGATAGCGAATACAGAAAAAGAGGAAAGGAGGTGTGCAACACCTCCTCCCTCATACTCCAGGGAATAAAACCTGGTGTGAAGAATACGAGATGCAGAAGGAAGCTCCCATGGGAGAAAGCTTCTAAAAAACTCCACCAAACCAGAAAACGAATAAACTGAGAAACAGTGCTGGACAAGGTAACCAGGTTTATATGAGCTCCTGGGAAGAGAGGGAACGCTACCGACAGTGCAGATGTCCCACACCAAGGCACCTCACTTTGCTCTGGAAGACTCGATGGCTTACACAGTCATCAGATAACTTGGTTACTGCCGGCCTGG